AGATGTAAAAGAGGAGGAGAAGGAGAAAGAAATCCTTCCGTGACCCGCGCGAGGCTGCTGGGCTCCTCGTGGTTTCCGCGTTCGCAAAACAGGCATCGTGTTCACGCTACGGGGACCGGTTCACCGGTGATTCAGAGCTTTATGCCTCTTCCACCAGAATTAACGTGGCTATCTTGCCCTCCTCCGTTGCTTTTTTCCCCCCTTTCTCCGTACGACCAACGATGGAACGACGGAGAGAAAGGTCGTCGGTGCAAATGAAAACGAAACGGGAACTCTTACAAGTCCCGCGTATTGGCGGCCTCTTCTCAAAGTGCAAAGAATATTTGGACCTTGCACGAAATTTCTATAAGAATTTAACGATCTATAACAAAGGACTTTAAGACCTTTTTTTTTATTTGATGGTTTTTTCTTATATTCTGTCAATTAATTTTGTTTCTTTGATGAATCCAAGTAGGTTGCGTAGCTTTTTGTTGGATGAGGTTCTCTTTAAGTTGTGATTCCAGCTTGTATTTTTCAGCGAAGAGTAATTGTTGTAATTGTTGCGTTGCAGTGTTTGTATTGGGATGGGTTCCTTTGATAATAAGCATGAGTGGGAGATTTTGGAGTGTTAAGACCTTGTTTATTTCATATTTCGCGAACCTTCCATCTAATCAGCTCTCTCAATTTTATACAACTCATGATATCAAACATTCTTTGGACAGACGTCGTTTTTTCTGGTGTTTTTGTTACAAAGAGCGCTCTGACATTCACGCAAGATTTGAATTTTGTTTCATTTGTGCGATAATGTGTTGGTAATGAGAAATAAAGACAGCGTGACTGGCAACTATGATGCAACAATCTTTTGATCTATTTCTTGTCATATATTGAGCACATAGTACTTGTCCAGACGTGAATATCGTTTGTATTATGGCTCCATGTCGCCGTGAAATCGTAGCTAGTCAGAGAGAGCCAAGAATGTATCACCTTCACTGGCGCTGACACATGTGACTCGCCCAAAATTTCGTAATCGTACGTGCCTGATTACGACCATGGTGTACCCAAAAATTTAACATAGTTGATACAACTAAAAATTAATAGAGACGAGTACGACACAATACTTACCAATACTTTACGAGATACTAAAAGATAAGACAAACAAAAATGTATTTCTGTGTTTTTCCTGACTCTGTTCTTACTTTTTTTAATAGTGTATCAAAAATATCTTTGAATGTTAAATCAAATACAGAAAAAGTTTATTTAATACCGACATAATATTAACGTATGAAACAAAATGTAGACAATAATATAATTTCATTTTTCTACATTAATTACATTTAAATTTCAATACCTATATACCAATAGTTGTAAACATAAATCTTTTACGACTGTTTAATTGATAATTTTTATATATATAGTACAAAGATGATCAATTTATTAAAAAATAGAAATATGACAAACTATTACCAACTTTTTTCATTCCATAAATTTTCTCTGATATTTAAATTCATTGTCATTCATGTAATCAAACGTGATTCCCTATTTCGTTTAAGCGATTGAAATCAGCGATTTTATTTCTGAAAGAAAACAATGGAACGATGTAATTTTCGCTGACGAAAATAAACGTAACATCTTTTCTATAGACGAACACGTATACGTAGTGTGTGTTTTAGCAAGAAAGGGGCAATGGAGTGTAATTATTCCCCCGTTCCAGGATGTATATACAATCGAACTATCGGTACAAAAAAGCAACGGACCCAGTAACGGAGTCGGGTAAATTTTATTCGTAATTAGAATCCGATAACGATCATCCTTAAACCAAAATCATTAAAAGCTAGTTTGAAATTGTATTAATCGTAAATAAAATTCTCTTGACCGTGGCGGAAACGAAAAGCAATCGTTAAAATATCCTCCGGGACCATAATCTCGGATCTAACGTAGTTAATTCTCACCAGTGGCTAGCGATGAAAATAGATCGTACCACTTTCTATCTCCAATGTTCGTTTGGAGCGTCGTGTAACGTCGTGTAATTGGATATTATTGTTGCCTCGAATTGAAAAGAAAATAAAAAATTGAGGCGTTCTATATCTCGACGTGAACGATCGTTTAAGAGTCTTGGAAGAAGCGTTGCTATCGAACGATCGATGCATACAGAAGGCAGCGGATCAACGTAGTTAGAACCTTTCTTCGGGAACAACGAGGAACTCTCTCTCTGTGCCCCACTCGGACCGCTATGAAACGATCCTCTGGCCCCCCTCTATCGAGGCTCGACGTCGTGGCATTTCGCCACTTTCGATTTTACCCGGCGAACACAGCCGGTTCGTTACCGTTAATTTCATGGATCGGTCACGATCGAACCACGCACCAGGAAGTGGGTCGATCTGACGTAGAAAACGGGGACAGGCTGCGTGCGGAGGTTCTCTCGATCTAACGTCAACCGCGCGTTCCAATTTCTTTTTCACTTTGATACGTTACTGTCTCCATCCACGAACGATTCATAGAAAGAGAAAACTTTTGCTTGCAGTCATCGTTGGCGTAATTTATTACCGGGCTGCGGATATTCATGCATTTATGGGAAATATACATTTTTAAGAATCTATATAATACACTTAATACGGAAAAATATAAGAGATAAAAGCAAGCTACGAGTAATATTTTGGGGCTGGGGCAACCCTCTACAAAGTTCTCATTTCATAGATATTATTGATAAAATATACTTCTGAGATTCTAGAGACCAAAATAAGACGAAAATCAAATTACAAATTCGTTGATTGAGGCTTTGTTTAAAAGTTATTAACGTTTGAAGTTTCATTATGACTGGATAACTTTTCGGCGAAATTGAAAAGTTTCAAATCATTTTGGAAAAATTATTTCCGGTTGCAGGGGTAAATTAGAATCATTTTTGGTGAACGGACATACCCTCGAAATCCTACGCATTATTGAGAAAAAAATTCGAATAGGTGCCTACATTTTTGGCGAAATTAAAAAATTTCAAATCGATCTGGAAAAATTATTTTTGGTTGCGGGGATCAATTACAATCATTTTTGGTGAACAGACGTACCCTTGAAATCCTACGCATTTTCGAGAAAAAAATTCGAATAGGTGCCTACATTTTTCGGCAAAATTAAAAATTGCAAATCATTTTGGAAAAATTATTTCCGGTTGCGGGGGTAAATTAGAATCATTTTTGGTGAACAGACATACCCTCGAAATCCTACGCATTTTCGAGAAAAAAATTCGAATAGGTGCCTACATTTTTCGGCAAAATTAAAAATTGCAAATCATTTTGGAAAAATTATTTCCGGTTGCAGGGGTCAATTACAATCATTTTTGGTGAACAGACATACCCCCGAAATCCTACGCAGTTTCGAGAAAAAAATTCCTGACTGAAAGTATGTCTGACCATGAACGAACGATTCCCCTAAAATGTCATGCGTTTCTTTAAAACATCATAACTCCTGAACGGATTGGACGATTTTAATGTTTAAAAATGCAAACAACGCGTATTTTAATCAAGAACATGTAGAAATTCTAAGGATATTCAAAAAGTTGTTCCTTAACCCCGTAAAGTGAGAAAACCCCCATAAAAATGGTCTAATATTCAAACGATCATAACTCCTACAATAGTGAATATATTGCATTGAAATTTTGGGGGGAAGTAGAGCTCATGGATACCTACAAAAAAGCACTAAACAACTTTTCCGTACAGCGTCAAACAAGTTTATTAAAAAACAAAAACAAATTTTTAAGAAAAATCAACAGGGGGTAGGGGCCTAAATTTTTCGACGAAAATGAAAAGTTTCAAATCATTCTGGAAAAATTACCCACCAGATTTTAGGTACTCTCGAGACAGAAAATTCGTGTAGATGGACAAATTTTATTAATAATTTTTAACAATAATTTTGTTATTAACTTTTTAAAGAAGCCTCAATAAACAAATTGGTATTCTTGATTTTTGTTTTATTTTGGCCTCTAGAATCTCATTAAAATTTTTACCTAGGACCGAATACCCTGTATACTGAAATAACTTGGCTTCCATGTAATAAACCGTGGTATAGCATACGTGTTTCGCCTAATTATACACTACATGTACAAAGAAACCAGGAATAAAATATTTTATCTTACATAAAATACTCTATTCTAAAACTTGGTTCTTCGTATCTCATTATTCAACGAAGAAACATCGCGTCGCGTGCTTACACCTTTTCTCATCGCTGTATATCAGCTCGCCGGCGCTGAAAGAAGATAATTTTACTAAATTCAAGCATAGAAGTTAATAGATAAACTGTCGTTACGCATTGCTTTATGTTGCAATTACGAAATGTACGAAAAAAACCGTGCCGAACACCTAGAAAGGTCGCGTGCGGCCTTCGGGGCAGCAGGTTCCTCATCCTTGGACTTCGACGTTCGAACGCGCGAAACGCAGTTCCCCGGCGCGCTTCGAGCGCGGGTGAAGCTCCCGGGCAGTCGGGGGTTTCCCCGTCCCCGAACGCGGAAGCCCTTTTGCATCCGCGAAATGGTCGTTGATTGGTCCGCGACGAAAACGGTGCGCGCGTTCCTCGCGACGAAGGAAAAGCGCGCGCGGATCTCCCGCGGCGTAGGAGCGTTAAAAACTGTGGAAAGTGCACACGGGGGTGTTACGCGAGGAAAGTATCCGTGTAGTCAGAAAGAAAGAGAGAGATATATAAATATGTATATACATAGTGATCGAGGTGGAACGAAGAAAGACTAAGGTCTGGCGTAGGAAGCGCAGAAGTGATAGAATCTTGTAGATACGTTGCGCGCGCGAACACTCGAAAGAGGGGATCCCTGGACGCCGGGTGGGAGGTGGGGGCGGGTAAAAGCGGATGTTTGGCGAAGGCGAGAGAGACCGAGCGTCGCGGCGGTGGAGGGAGCCCGTACATGCGTGCAAGTATCTACGGAGGAGAAACATCGAGTGGGTGGGGGGTGAGGGGGAAAGCCACCGGCGAGGGAGCGACAGAGAGTGAGGGAAGAGAGCGAGACGTAATCCTCGAGTGGAACGGAGTCGACGTTCGCGGCTACTCAGTGTCTTTCCGGACGCCGCAGGTTCGAGGCACGCACAGCTCTTTCCCCTCTCTTTCCCTCTCTTTTTTTCCGTCTGCTTGCCTCTATCGGTGTCTCCCTCCCCCCGTCTAACGAAACCCCCCTCGGCTCCCCTCTCCTGGTCAACCCCTTGGAGCGTCTTTCTCTCGGACTCCCCTATCCCTCCCGGCTGTTTCCCTTTCTGCCCTTCCTCGTGCTATCTCATCTGGTCGGAACCCGGTCCCAGGACGACGTCGAGGCGCGTCATCGTCTCTCCCCCACCGTTAGGAACGCGGCCAGGGAGCCAATAGGAGCACCGCTTCCGGCAACGGTGACGGCCCAATGGGCGAACACCGACGACGGATAGACGCCGACGGTCGCTGATTTTGACAGTCGACACACGACGACGACACCGTGTTGCTCTCCTTCCGTGTGGGCGCCTCGTCGGCTCTCCCTCCTGTTGCCAGGACGCATCGAAACGACCACGGGATCCACCGCGGGGAGGACGCGCGCGTCCACGTCCTGTGCTACCCACCGGTAGTGTTTGTTGCTTTCGTGCGGTGCCGCTTCGCGGATCACGCAGAGGACAAGGGTACTCTCCGTGAACGAGTTTCGTACAGTGACAGTTCGCGTACGTGGTCGCGAGGGAGGAAGGGAGAGAGGGGAAAGGAGGAGGGTCCGGTTCGCGATCCGTCGTTACGCGCCGCGGAGGGTAGTCGGATCACGACCACGTGGCTCTGCACCGAAACCAGAATTATTTTCAGGAACAACTCGGGTTCACTTTCGGATTCATGAAAATTCTAATTGAAGGATTCCTTGCGACTCGTATGTCGAAGCCGCCAACGTTCTCCGTCGATCCTCTTTCGTTCTCTCCCTCTCTTTCCGGTGACTCTCGCGTCGCGGACAAGTGTACGTCCAGTGACAACGCAAAAAGGACTGCGCGAATGACGACCGGCGCTCGAATCGGATAAAATTACGCGCAGATGCGGAGGCAAATAAACGCCGGTAACCGCTGGGCCTCGGTGGCGTAGCCTGTCCGTTTACCATCTGCGACGATCGCGTATTCGCGCGTAGAGACGTTCGAAAAAAAAAGGACTTAAATGCGCGCGTGAAAGAAACCGATGAGTTGCGCTATGGAGTACCAGCAATTGGCACCACCGCCGGTACCAGTCACGCTGCACCCGGCGCATCATCAGCAGCAGCATCAGCAACCGGTGCAGCAGACTCCCCATCCTCACATAGTGGTCGCGCCTGCGCTGCAACAACAACCCCAACAACCACCGCCTCCCCCGTTACCGCCCACCTCGCACGGCCATCAGGTGCACGCACCACTTCCGCCTATTCACGACGACAGCACGAGCTCGCGTTGGAGCCAGTACCAGCATCTCTGGAGGCAGCACCACGTCTACGTAAATGGTAGGAATTTTTCTACGTGACGTATCCTAAGAATAGGCCCGATGACTGAGTAGAATACACTTTCGAGGAAATTCTGTGTCTTTGTAAACGGTAAGACGTTCCGAGACGCGTGTTAAGAATAAGCGTCGTATTTGGATAATGGGAATGTACTTCAGAGACAGTCTCGGAGTGTTTGGAAACGATAGGAAGTTTATTTTCAGTCGTATGCTAAGAACGAATCTGCTGACGGGCAGAATCTACTTTCAAGGAAACGTTCGTAGAAATGGTAAAACGTTTTCTTTGAGACGCGTATTGAGAATAGGTGAATCAGGGTGTGCTATAGTGCAAGTGTTTCTTAACCTGTGATTCAGGGACCTCGAGAAGGCCATAGATAGTTTTGTATAGGGAATTATTCAATATTAATTTTCTGTGTTTTAAAACGACGATTAGACTGTTATAAATCTGTCGAGTAACCGAGTAATTACTACCGAAAGTGATACACGATTATACATCTGCCTTTGGTAATTTTAATCGGGAAAACAAGGAATAACGAACGATCGAGCGTAAAAACAATCGCTCGTCTGCGTCGAGTCTAAGCGCAGCACATTCGATCGAATGTTAAAGCAAAATTCATACACAAATTCATGCATCGAACATTTCAAAATTGAAAATTAATCTGCTACTATATAGATAATGTATATATGAATTGATGACACGGGGGGGTTATATTGAATTACTAATAGGTATCTAATCCACGTGGATGTTTAATATCCACCATAAATACAGTGTCATGTTTCTACAAACGTCAGGGAACTTTCTTCTACGCGTGCATGTCCCTGAACAATTATACGATAAAAATGTACTTTGGAAGTAGTCTCGATGTTCTGTAAACGATAAGAATTTTTCTTCGAGACGTTCGTTAAGGATTATGTATTATCGTAAACACTTAGCGAATAAAAATAGCTAACTTATCGCTAGTGGTGTTGAATAATTGTTTGAAACTAACTCGGGTGGCAACGTGTTCGAAATAACAAGTGCTTAAATTTGTATTAACGTATTAACAGCTTGTGCGTTGACCTTTCAAACGCAAAACAGAGTTAATATGCCTTGGCATACTTTCTATTAAACGTTGACAATAGTCTGGCGAAATTTAATTCCATTGTTCTTGAACTCTGGAATACGGTTCAACAATCGATCGGTGACGGAGAATCGAAAGCGACGTGCATACGTTTTTCTATAATGTTTTCAAATTTTCAATAGGATTCGGATCGGTTATTCTAAAATAGGAAAATTATATTCGAGATCTCGATCGTGTTCGAAAAAGTTAATATTTTTAATAAATTACACAAAATTTTACGCAATTTTGTTAAATTTTACCTTAAATTATACCTTCTGCGTGCTGTATATTCTCTATAGTTTATAGCAGACTGTGCTTCGTAATATCTTTGTACGTATACGCTTTATAACACTTTCTATACGGTGCAATGAACTGATTCCAGCCAATGTCTTACTTCCCCGCAACATAATTGATCCACCTCCATATTTAACAACTTGCCTCACATGTCGTTGATTGAGAGATTCGCCTTTACAAATTCATTCACGAGCTTCGATGTTTTTCATTAAATAGACTTTAGTTTTTTTTCTGACAGCACTGTGACGCTTTCAGTGATTCTTTGAACAGTCCAGTTACTTATTTTTATTTTTATAACACGTTTTAATAATCAAGTAGCTATGATTGCTAGAGTTTATTCATTGATCGTGATGTCTTGATGGTTCGTTAAATGTATCAGAATTTTTCTTTTGTTTTGACAATTGAGGCTTTCTTTCTATTAAGGATAGCATGTAGCACTTATGTTTTATGCTTGTATTGAACTCTTGATTAGGTTATTGAATGTAATGGGGTAACCTACATGGGGTATAATCGTTTTGTGAAAGAAAATGATTCTCTTTTAGACATTCGTTAAAAATAAGTGTCTTCTTCATGAAAATAATTTTTCCTCCCTTTTCTATGAGCAAAAGAAAGTATATTGTGTAGTTAGAAACTTTAGATTAGAGTCGTATTTCTCTGTAAATGGTAAAAAATTGTCTTTATAACGTGTGTTTAGAATAGATGTTGGCTAATGGTAATGATGCAACTGTGTTTTAGTAGCAATCGCTCGACACCTGCAAATTGTATGAATTTTTCTTGAAAACGTGATATAAAAACAAGTGTCTTTGAGCTCCACTGATGTTGAAAATCTACTTCAGAGATGAACTCGTGCTTTGATTATAGAAAGTAGAACTCCATTTATTTGAACAGGTGCGGATAACTAGATGGTTCGCACCTCACTATCCATTCTACTATTGTTCATTAGTTCCTATACCTAATAAGAGCTCGGTAAACTAGCTACATAACATTAGTTCCAATAAATAGAGTCCTACCGACTATCTCTGATGATTATCAGAATCTGCATCAGAGATAATCGTGTACCTTTGCAAATGATAAAAAAAATTGTCTGCAACGTGCATTAAGGGGGTATTCTCAATCCAGGACATCGATAATTGGTGATCTTTAAATTAAAGAATTTTAATCAGTAAGAATTTAAAAATTGTTCCTATTAGTCATTTTTATCTTTAATATTACTTCAGTTATCGCATGTTTCCTGCAATCTATTATTTTGAACAGCTGTTACGATGTCTCAAAAATTGATCGATGGATCTTTTTCAAATTTTAAGAAATTAAAATAACAGTTTGAACTCAATTTGATGGGTTTCAGATTCCATATTTAACGTTACAGAACTCATAAATATTATACAGAACTCATGAATACATGTATTCCAATTAAAAGAAAAACTGTATTTTAATGAAATCGTCAACGTAACAGGTTTCGATAAAAATATGTGCAATTAATATCCACGAATCTAGTGTTAGCTGTCTCTGATCCACGCAGATAATGAAAATCTTCTTCAGAGAAAATGTCGAGCCCATGCAAATGGAAGGAAGTCTTCTTCGAGACGCACATTAAGGATGATGGGAATTTACTATGGAGGCACTCTCGTGCCTCTGTAAATTGTAGGAAGTGTCCTTTGAGATCTGCGTTAAATATAGGTATCTTTCTTCCACGTGGATGTTGAGAATATACCTTTGGAGACAGTCTCGTGTCTTTGTAAACGATAGGCAACTTTCTTTGCAATAAACTATACGCGTCTTTGATCGATGTAGACGATATAAATCTATTTTAGAAACAGTCTAGCAAATTATAAAAAGTCTCAAAAGCAATCAGCCCACCACAACATAGTTCAAACTATATTTATAGCAAAACAAAAACTGTGAATGAACGAAATAAATGAATAAAATTTAGGTTTCAAACAAACAAAAATCTCAGAGTGCAAAGGGTTAAGAAACACAGGTTCTAAAAGTGTGTATTTCTCGATCCTTGCTTGTTTTCTATTTATTTTGGAGTCAGTATCGTATGTATATAAATAACAAGTGTTTTTGTTTTGCAAATACACAAGTTGTAATAAAGTTTATTGTTTGAATCTATGTAGTATTAAGAAAATAAACTACTTGTTTTAACTTCTGCACTTTAGTCTGTATTAAAAATAGATGTCAACTCTGAAGATATTTACAAATATAAAAAAATTCAATTTTTTTAATTCTCATTGCACTACATATAAATTTATTACGTGAAGTACTCATTGGATGCAAAAATATTGATATAACAAAGATACAATACGGTAATTAATATTGAACTTAGCAGGCACGAAGTATGATTTTAACTAAAATTGAGGTTCAAAGGTAGCCGCCATATTGTTTTTATCAAATGTACCTGTACCTGTACTTTCTTTATTCGTGTAACAAGGATATAATAGGTTGATTAATAACAAATTTAACAGTCGCGAATCACGACAAATTCGTGCCATTAGGCGTGGAACTTTGTTTCGCGAAAATGGCCAGAAAAATTGGCGGGAAAGCGAGAGAAGGACGATCTCGCGTTGAAACGGGAGAGCAGTCGCGAAATAGAAACGCCCACCTGTTGCTTACATCAGGCTGCCTACATTTTATTCGCAACTATATCGCGTCGTGATCTAACGATCGACTTAGATCATACTCCGCGGGGGACTTTCTCCGTGACTTTTTCCTTTCGACTTCTTTTCACCGTGGATTATTATCTCATTGAATTGTTATTTTGCTCGACCACTTCAAATCGAAATATTGCACGAAGTTTATTTTTAAAGAAATTTTTCATTCGTGTACAGTCTAAGACAAAAGTAATAGTTGTCAATGAAAGTTAATCAAAATAGTACTATTGAAAATACTATTAAAAATCGGGAAAAGTGTTTCATTTTTGTACATGTAAATTGTATTTAATGGAAAAGAACCAATTGTTGAGAAACAGAAGTAAGTGGACGCTCGATTAACAAATTACTTTGATTCGAACGAATCAATCAGTGTCTATTAAGCATTTGTGAGAGCAAAAGTGTTTGTCAAAGAATATTAAAATAGTAAAAACGAAGGAATTCGAGATTTGATTGTTTTGGAGTGTTGTAGAAGCATAAGTAGAATAGCTAAATAGTTTTTCAATTAGAAGAATTTTTTCCCTTGTAATTATAATGATTCTTTACGTTTAAAAATTTATAACATAATAATTATTAAACTTTCGGATCATCAAAGTGAGTTGTTTGGACTCGTTGGGGCAATTAGAGCGACGAGAATAGAAAATATTTGAGAACTCCATGGATTAAAACTTAATCGATGGTGCCTGTATCTATGTATGTATTAGTAATTGCCAAATAACGCGAGCTATAGTCTATATTAAAGTGAGTGAGCCCGTAAGTGTCACAAAAATCTGTTCCATGACTGTCCTGTAGTTGTCCCCGCCATTTCTCGAAACCTTGGTGTTATCTACGACACGTGATAGTCGATGCCTGGTTACCAATGAGTTACCGAAGTAGAAAAGTAAAAGTTTTATGTCATTCACACTCACAGTTTCCTCTACCCACTCTGACCGTTTTTCAGCTGATTTCACTATTTCGCACTT